TCAAATTTCAAATAAAGTTTATATTGAAGTAACATGCTTTTTTGGAGACATTGTAGACATTAAGAATATACCAATGGTCTCTATATTGGTACCCAAATTCATACAGCATTCACAGTTATAGTGATCTTGGAGTGCTGTGAAGAGGAAGGAGGGAGGGATGAAGCGGGAGGAAAAGGTGCACCAGTCTCGGATATATACACTCATTTCAACAGAATTTGTGCTGTGTTTTATGTTCAAATTCTACAAAAGCAAACAATCCTGTAACTTGTCTGTGAGAGTAAACCTACTTTGTGGACAGTTCAAGAAACTTCAAGAGGAATCCTCAGAGTCTTCTTGAAAAAAAAAAAAGTTCACTTAGAGATGTGAACTTTAAACGCTGTTCTATGAAAAATGACAATTCTCTATGGTGTTTGAAATAACCACTCTCTATTAGTTGTTCTGAATCACTGGGACAGACTATCTGATAAACAACTTAAGAGAGGGAAGATTATTTTGGCAAGACAGAGCACCTTGGTCTGTGGTGATGAGAGGATGAGCTGCCTAGATAGACCAGGCTAGATCCAGGGGAGAGTATAACTTTCAAAGTTTTGGCCCTAGTCACCTACTTGCATCAGGCAGTCACCACTCCTCAGAGCTCCCTGGCATTCAACATCACACAGTGAGCTGAAGACTGAACATTTAAAACAAACTCACAGGAGACATTTCAGATGCAACCATAACACTCTCCCTTAAACTAAGCATCCTAAACTTAAATTTCATCTTGCACAAAGCATAGTACATTAATTGTCTAGAAAATGCCGATGTCTGGTGCTTGATTTTCTTGTCTTTTGATGTGTATGTGTTCTTTGAATTAATTTAAAAAAATCAATCTTACTGATTAATGGGTTTGTGAATAATTATGGGACAGAAGCCTTTGGACTTAATTTGTGAACTGCAATCTCAATAGTGGAGAGAGTTAAATATGCTACCTTTCACAAACTCTGGTAGGAGCTCTATTGTCTCTTAGGAGCACTGCTATACAGATGCCCTTTACTTAGGCTGGAGTTACATCCTGATCAATTGAATCTCTTTTATGTAGCTAAAATACCTTAAATAAGCAACATTAATATGCCAAACCTACTAACCATCTTGATTTGTCTTAGTTCAGTACACTATTGAGGTTTATTATTACTCTCCTGACCATGTGATTTGCTCCAGCTATGGCTTGCTACCACTGCCTACCATCAAGACAGAAGAGGATACCACCTATTATTGCTGGCCTAGGCAAAGGCCAACATTCAAAGTTCTTAGTATGGTTTATACTGAAGGCATGCCACTTTCACACCATTATAAATTATCAGGGTCATCATTGTAGTTCACATTTATACAGCATAGCGAAGGTAAATAAAGGCCTTGCTTGTAAAGAGGACAAAAACTGATTTAAACGAGTTGAGGAAATACTTCTCATGTGCAGAACTTCTGTGATATTAAGTATGGGTATTTGTATTTCAATTCTTTGTATGCTTAAGAACTTACCTAAGACAGACAAATAACTAATGAAACAATTTACAGTTACTTTATTATGGAATGCTTTAGAACATAATCTGTACCTATTACAGCAATAATGTAAAAGGGGAGCAATTTCATTATTCATATTGTGTCTGTATTTATTTTGCAACATACATGATGTACTAGACACTACTATGTGCCAAATGGTCCTCAGTGTTGATAGTTCCTGCTCTTAAGGAGCATGTGAGGGGGCAACACAGATACTTAAATATATCTAGGAAAGATTGGGGTAGAGGATTTGACCAGATTTTCATAGGTTTAGAGGACTGTGGTGTGGAAGTGCAGAAAAGAATCCTGGGGGAAAGTGATGTATACCGGAAATGCAGATGTGCTAGGGAAATCATAAGCAGTCCAGAGCAGCAGCACCACTGCCCATATATAGAGTGAACGAAGGAGGAGGAGGAGGAAGAGAGAGAGGAGAGAGAGAGAGAGAGAGAGAGAGAGAGAGAGAGAGAGAGAGAGAGAGAGAGAGAGAACACAGAAGAAAGGAAGTCATAATAGATGGTAAAAAGCCATGCTGGAGATTACATCTTTTGTTGTTCATAAGCTGGTGATGTCATTGAAGGATGTTTAGGAAAAGGAAAGGTGAGAGCCTCCTTTTCAAAAGATGGATAGTAAGCATATGAAGGGTGAATTTGAAAAGGCAGATAGATGTCTAGGTGTGAAGTTATGATTTCTTGAATAAGGAGAATAGTTAAAAGAATGGGAAGGGTAGAGCTTGAAGAAGTCGAAGCCATAGGATCTCTGACATACTGGGTGGCACAGAGAACAGTGAGTGGCGTATTTTTCACCTGTGAGCTTCAGAGCTCAGCTTGAGATGTGGGTGGACCTGGCCCTCCATTTGTGATCGTTAGTGGATTAATAGCCCTCCTAAAGCCTCATTCTTCTCATCTGTGAAAGGGGATCCTACCCCTACTGGTTTTATAAGGATGTTCTGAGCTTTAAGTGAGTTAGTGGCTATAGAGGACTTAGAAGAAGGGCTTTTTTTGTTTTCTTGACAATGTCTCCCTGTAGCCCCAGCGCTGGCCTGGAACTTGCTATGTAGACCTTGCTGGCCTTGATCTCACAGAGATCCACCAGCCTCTGTCTCCTGAGCACTGGGATTAAAGGTGTGCCACCATGCCTGACAACTTTTAAATTTTTATCCAAGTGATTTTTCATATTCTTTCAGTTTCAGTGGAAATATTCTTAGCTAAGTATTCACAAAAACATAAAATTTCAATTGAAGGGATGTGCATTTATTCACCAAGACTCTCCAATATAGATGACTATAGGGACACGGGATCGAACCCTATTCTCCTGGGGTTAAAATAATTGAAAAGGTATATTTTAACTAAATAATGTCTGTTCATGCTCTGTTATTGAATCAAGTGGCAACAATTGTGGCACAAATTAGATATGAGTTAGAAATTCAAGACAGAATGGCTTCTCAAATAAAAACTGTCATTACATCAAATACATTTACCAATAGCCTCTATAATTCAAGCACAGATGTAAATATTGCTTTAAAATAAACATTGCTTTTAATGTTAACAACCCTAAATTTCAAACATATGACTTATTATGTGGACATGTTACAGATTAATAGTAAGATAGTTTTATAAATTACTTCAAAGTTCTTTATGACATACATAATTAGTTATTTAGTATTTAATCTAAATATGATTTATTCTTTGTTAGGATTCAAAAGCTTCTTTTCATTTAATATAAGCAAGAAAAAACTATAATCCATAAACTAAACATATTTCTTAGAAGAGATAATGGAAACTGTTTTCTTTGGTAAATCTATAAAAGGAATTGTTTGGCCTGGATCATGGAAGCATTTTCTGCTTAATTTACTTAGAGTATTTCTGGGGGATATGTTACTTTTTCATTTCTTGTATAAAAACACATGTCAGATATGTTTATATGTTTTTGAAAAATGTAAAACAAAGTTTGAAATGACCCACTGTGTGCATCTGTATGATACATGCCTTGAGATTTGTGAAAAGCAGGTTGGGTCCCATGTATGTCAACATTCATACATAAGTAGAGCAGAGTTTAAAAGGGATTGGCCTTGTGCAATATCTCTGAGTGATCATATTATAAAGTACACTTTTATAAAGTATGAACAGCAAGAAAAAGTATAATACTTAGAAAATAAGACTATGGCATTTGAGAATTTCTGCTTTTATATTCAAAATGGCTTATATATGATAACTGAAATTATTTCTTTAGAAAAACTGGGTTAGGAAAACAATAAACTAGATTAAATAATGCTTTACAATTAATCCTAGAAATTTGCTGACAGGAAAGGAACTCTGAGGTTTCATTTTTACTTGTCTTTCTTGCTTTTCCTAGTTGGGTACTGCTTTAGGTGATATTAAATTAGGAAAAGTTTGGCTTTGATACAAAGTCTGGTTTGCAAAGTTAATATCCTGACTGGTTGCTCTCTATCAGGTAAACTATTGGACAGGTTTTCTTAATAGTTTGAATTATAGGTAATGCTTCCTCAGCCAAGCTCCCAGCTTTGGAAAATATTTATTCAAAATGCCTAGAAACGGAGAACTACACATTAGTAATATTTTCCCTGTCTGGGCTGATATGAACTGCTTCATCTTGGCCAACTTAAGTTGTGCCCCACAAACAGCACCCTGCTGAAGTTTTCATTCAGACAAGAAAATTGTTTGGACTCCTCCAGCTCCACGAAATAACGGAGTCCTTGGTTTGGTACACCCCCCCCCCATCAGTTTGATATGAAGTGAGATGGGATGATGAGAGCCAGAGCACAGCCCCCGCCCCTTCAAGGCCTGGCATCCTTGCCCTGAGCCCAGGAAATCACCCTGTCAGTGGACCTCTTCTGAAAGTGGCTAGGGACCAAGAAAGATGCAGAGGAATCTGTGAGCTGACTTTTTTTTTTTTTTTTTGGTTTTTTTGAGACAGGGTCTCCCTGTAGCCCCAGCTGTCCTGGATTCACTATGGAGACCAGGCTGGCCT